GCAACAAACAATTGAACATCAAGAACCCTAGGAATACCCTACTATTTTCTAAAAACATAAAGGGTTTTAGGGTTTACATACCTTTTGATTATTGTAGTAAATAATCAACAATTCCTTGTTGAACAAGCTTCAGAAAGCAAGCATCAGAAATCTCATACCTCTAATGGTTTGTACCCAAACACTAGCAATAGAAGACTTTAGAGGAAAGATAAGAGGGGGTGGAAATTTTCGGCTCTAAGGCTCTTAGAGAAGTTGCCAAAAATTCTAAGACCCTTGAGGTTATTTATAAGTGATTAAGGTACCAAGGCAACCCTAATTTGAATATTAAATTAATATTTCAAAAAAGGCAGTTCTTTTTACCATTTTCTTACTCCCTAAGGCATTCTAAAATCCTTAAGGAGCTCCACCAAAATCGTCCCTTCTAGGGTGATTCTGGAAGCTTTCCTTTGCTCAACTTTAGAACATTATCACGTTTAGTCCTTATACTTTTAATTAATCCAATTAATCCCACAAATAGTTCTAATTATTTTCTTATCAATTATTAATTAAATAATATTATTTCTAATTAATATATTAACCTCATAATACATTAATAAATTATTTATTGCTATTTGTTAATCCAATACATCAACCTCTCTCTCCAAAAAGTCATTATGTCAATTACATACCAAAAAGTCATTATGTCAATTATTTATTGCTATTTGAGGGCAAACCAAAAGGACTTTGTTTTAACTCAAGTACATACCAATTTAGTTATTCGCTTAGACACCTAATCCAACAAAAGTCGCCACTATCTGTATTGTCTTGTCACTTGTTGACATGCATAAGTGGCATCTCCATCAACTTGATGTTAATAATGCCTTCTTAAACGGGCATCTTACTGACACGATGTTTATGGAGCAACCTGTAACACCCGATTCAAGGTATTTTTCATTTTGGACCCTTAGTCGGTAATTAATTTGCGATTTTGGTATTTAGGGGAATTATTGTAATTTTTGGAAGGAGGGTGCGTACGCTGGGCGTTCCTCCTGAACATTGGGCGCCGCAATCAGGGGACAAACCCTAATTTTAGGTTTGTTCCATATTTAAGCAACCTTATGTCCCAAGGTTCTCTCATTTCCCAGCCTACATTGCCCTTTTGAGTCCCATTTCGAAACCCTAGCTCATCTAGAGATATTGGACCCCCCTTTGTGTGTGTTTTAGTGGGTGTTTGGTGAACCTTGAAGAAGAATAAACTTGGAGAAGGATCTTTGATCAAGGAGGAGCTTGTAGATCTAGATTCCACTCATCATTTCCAGCTTCATTGAGGTATAAAGCTTTGACCTTGCTCATTCTATGCTTAAATCTAGTTTTTCTCACTTTTTGGTCCCATGAATGAGATCTAGTAACATTTTACCACTCCAAAAGTTATGAGTTACTCCTCTTGATGTTTCTGAGTTCCCTAGTCCATAAAGTTAGCATCTTGATGGTTGAGGATCAACCATGCATGAGTATATGTCCATTTGGTGAAAGTAGGATGTTAATTCTAGGTTTGGGACCATTTAAGCCATGAAAAGGCTCCAAGTTAGTGACTTTATGGATTAAGACATTCCCCAAGGTTTGGATCTGAAATATGGACGTTTGGTAGCAAGCATTAAGTGCTTAATGGGATAAGGAGCTTAATGGGTGCGTACATCGGGCGTACGCATTTGGATCCCCGACTCGGTGTAGTCACCTAGATAATCGGGCATACTAGGGGAATGCTTAACATTCACGACCAAGTGTACTTTTGGCTTTTGGGCCGCCATTGGGCTTTAGGGTTTTCGGCCCTTGTTGGGCCAAAGGTCTTTTTGATTTTGGGCAACTGTTAGGCCTTGGACCTTCTTGGATTTGGGCCCAAATTGGGCTTTGAGTGTATTTTAGGAATTGGACCATTATTGGGCTTTTATGCCTTTAAGTTTGGGCCGCGGCTTTTTGGGCCAATTGAGGGAAGTGTAAAATAATTGTTTACCATGGGGAGTTGGGATTAGTTAATTAAGTCCCGATTATGGTTTATGACTCGATTATTAATTATGGTTTTATTTGATTGGTTAGTGCGGGGATCCTCCGGTTCAGTAGCTCGAGCATCTATTTGACTGATAGCAGACTGAGGTGAGTTTGCTCACTATACAGTAGGACACTAGGGATTGTATGTGCGTGTAGTCTTTGTGACTCCTGTTGTATGTGTTGTATGCATGTGTGTCTGTTTGCTATGTATGTGGGGTGAAATAGACCCGGTACAGCCTTGTGCTGACATATGAGTTGAAATAGACTTAGGGGTGAAATAGACCTGGTACAGCCTTGTGCTGACATATGAGTTGAAATAGACTTGGGGGCGAAATAGACCCGGCACAACCTTGAGCTGGCATATATGTATGGTATGTGGTATTTTGGGGAACTCACTAAACTTTGTGCTTACGGTTTCGAGTTTATGTTTCAGGTACTTCCGGATCGAAGGGGAAGAGTTCAGGATGATCGCATCACACACACCATGACTTTTCACTTATTTGACTCTGATGTATTTTGGATGATTATGGATACACTATGATTTCCCTATGGTTTTGATAAACACGTTTTGTTGATGTTTTATTTTAATATAAAAACAAAAAAAATTGGTTCTGAGTTTTTGGGACGTTACACAACCTCTAGGTTTCACTGATCCGAGATTTCCAAATCATGTTTTTCATTTGAAGAAGGCATTATATGGTCTTAAACAATCATCGTGTGCCTGGTTCCAACGACTTAGCACTTTTCTGGTTAATCTTGGTTTTATTTGTAATAGGGCGGATACACCGCTTTTTATCTTCAAACAAGAATCTTACATCTTATATCTACTAGTCTATGTCGATGATATAATATTGACCAGTGATCATCCGCCTCTCATTAAGTAGTTTCTATCTAGACTACACTTGAAATTTTCCATAAAGGATCTTGGTCGGCTAAACTATTTCTTGGGTCTTGAGTTCTTATATACGGAAAATGGTTTGTTTCTTACTCAATCCAAATACACTCATGGCATACTTTCTCGAGCATGTCTTCTTTACGCCAAACCAACCTCAACACCCTTATCCACATCATATTATCTTGTCACTTCTAGTTCACCGTGTTCCGATTCGACTTTATATCGTTCCTTAGTTGGTGCTTTGCAATATTTGACAATCACTCATCCTGATTAGTCATATGCAGTAAATCAAGTGGTTCCGATTCAACCAGTTTTTACATGCTTTGCAAGCTTTGCAATATCTGGTTCACCGTGTTACGATTCAACCACTTTTACATGCTCCTACCACTGATCATTTTCAAGCGGTTAAAAGAATTTTAAGATATGCCAAAGGCACTTTATCCTATGGACTTTATTTCACTTGTCTAGGATCCTCAAAGTTGGTAGGATATTTTGATGTGGACTGGGATAGATGTATCGAGACTCGACATTCCACTTATGGCTATTCTATTTCACTTGTCCAGGATCCTCAAAGTTGGTAGGATATAATACTCAGTGCTCCAGTTGTGAGTCTGAATATCAGGTGATGGTGAATATTGTTGCTGAAATTATTTGGATTACTCATCCCTTGCGTGAGCTACATGCTTTGCCTCTGGATTTCCCTACTATCTTATGTGACAACAAGAATGCTCTTTTTCTCATTCAGAACCCAATCTCTCACAAACGAGCAAAGCATATAGACATTAACTATCATTTTTTTTTTCGTGAGTTAGTTGCTTCTGAAAGATTGCAACCCCGTTTCGTTCCAACTTCTTTACAGTTAGCTGACATATTCACCTAGAGTCTACCACACCCGCTATTCGAGTAGTTGTGTGCCAAGCTTTGTGTTGGATTGCCACCACCTCTTCGCTTGAGAGGGAGTATTAATGATAAACCTTAGAGAACATACTTATCTATATGTATTCCTACAAATCAGCTATATTGTTGTTATTTTGCATTGTTTGGTTATTTCCTAAATATCCAACAACCATAATATCTTGATGGTTGTGCAGAAGTTTCCTAACATCCATACCAACATTCTGTAATGTTGGATTGTCGAGATCATATTCGTACGCTCATGAAACTTTGTTTTTGTATGTTGGACATCAACATTTTCTTCACTATTTGGCCTCAAGAAAGAGAAGGGTTATTGTCTTTTGCTTGTTCATTGTCTTGAGATGCATCCACATTAGAGGAGTATTGGTTTAGGCTCTTCAATCATCCAAAAGAAAGCAAGGAACCGTTTCAACAAGAAAGGTATATCATTCTACCATCCCTCTCTAAGGTTTTAGATTTTGTTGCATTTAGCCATTTAGTCATGAACTTGTGATCATTAGTGTAATATGGTGGTAGAAATTTTGATTTTGCTTCCGATACATTTGTTTGCATTTAGTCATAAACAAGAAAGGTATACCATTCGACCATCTCTCTAAAGTTTTAGATTTTGCTATATTTAGTCATGAACTTGTGATCATGGTGCAATATGATGGTAAATATTTAGTCATGAACTTGTGATCATGGTGTAATATGATGGTAAAAATTTTGATTTTGCTTCCGCTATATTTGTTTGTAAAAACCATCATATTCCAACATATACAAAATAAATGGTAAAAAAAATTAAACCATCATTGTTATGTTTAACAAAGAAAAGTTGAGTCCATTACACAATAAATAAATAACCACCAAGGCCATTTCTGTAATTTATTCTTATATTTATGTTTACACAATTTCTGTAATTTACTCTTATATTTATGTGAGTTTATACAAGAACATCGATTTTGTAATTACTGAAAAGTAATTTTTATATTATGTTGTTCTTTGTACAAAGTACATTTCACATTCCTCTCAAAACGATTTGTAGTGTAAAGTATCTTGTTTTCTTCTGCGAATATATCAAACAATTGTTAAAAAAAAAACAAATGGTTACACAAAAATATGTATAAAGATTGCTGATTTTTATTCCATAGTACATATATACACGTATAAATAAATAAATACGAATGCATACATATTATCTATCAAGCACAAATTGACTTGTGCCTGATGCATACTACTTCTTCATAGTATGTATTCAGGCACACACTACCAACAAGTCATAGGTTCGCCCCAAGTTGAACTTGTTGGAGAAGTTCCAACAAACTTCCCGCCTTCCGCTTTGCTCTATCGGTTCCATTCTCCAATAATTCCTTCAAAACCTCCTCCGCTCCAAGCTCTTTCATCATCTTCAAACACTCGATATCACCCACACAAACACACCACAAAACCGCCACTCCATTCTCCCGATTCCTAGGAGACCCCGTTCGAACCACTTCCACCAAAACCGGAATTGGATCGGCTTGCCCAATCGCCGCTTTCCCTTCATGGTGACTAGCAATTATCGCCAAAATCGCTAAAGCCTCATCCATCATTCCACCGCTCGCGTCTTTCACCAATTCCATCAACGGAATCACGATTCCGGCCCGTACCGCTCTCACCTTGTTCCCTTGATAGATACATAGGTTAAAAATGGCGGTCGCCGCGTCCTTTTTCCCTCTCGGAGTCCCGTCTCGAAGCAAATCGATAAGCGGCGGAATCGCACCGGCCGCCCCAATCGCCACCTTGTTTTCGTCCAAAACCGACAAACTAAAAAGCGTTGCCGCCGCGTTTTCCCGCCCCTCCATGGTTCCATTCTTCAATACATCTACTATATCGGCTATGGCTCCAACACCCACGATTATCCCTTTATTCACCTCGTTTATGGATAAGTTCAAAAGTGCGGTGACCGCATGTTCTTGAGTCCGGTTATCTTGGGAAGATAGTAACTCAACTAACAACGGAATCGCACCGGCATCCGCGATGCAAATCCGACTATCGGCATTCCGTTTTGCTAGTAATCGGAGTTCACCGGCAGCCGCCCGTTGCTCGTCGGAATTACCGTTTCCGAGTTTCTCGAGTAATCCAGTAATGGCGGTTTGGTCACATTCCGATCCAATTTTAGTGGTTTTAGGGTTTCTTGAGTTGCCTTGCGGTTGTGGCAACTCGATTCCGTTACTATCACACCATAAGGCGATTAGACTCTTCAAGACATAGTTCGGTGTTAACGCTGTGTGGAGTAATGTTTGTTGAGTTTTTGGGCATGTTTTGTGTCCGGCGTCTAGCCATTTTTGAATACAAGACCGTTCATACGTCTGCAAAATAGAGATTTATATTCATTTTCAACCTTAACCACATTTGATTAATGGAAAACGTAATATTGTTATTTTTCCAACATCCCATAAGCTTGTACACACTGTCAAATCTCGCACACATGTCATATTTTTCGTGTCAATTTTGGGTCGAATTTTGAACATGAATACGACATGAGGTTGTGTTTTTTACACTAGACATGAATTTCAATTTCAATTTCAATTTTGTCTTAATTTCATTTTGTTGTCGTGCGCTTGACACCCCTACTACCAAACAACCCTACTTGGCCCATATTGCTACGTGGGCCAAGAGTTGATGATATGTCAATCAAGTTCAGAGTGGCCCATATTGCTATGCGGGCCAAGAGTTGATATGTAAATCAAGTACACAATGGCCCATATTGCTATGTGGGCCAAGAGTTGATGATATGCAAATCAAATAGTGCCCATAAGAAGCCCAATGAAAAAACTTAATTTTCAAAACACAATACCTGCCCGGTGGAGACAATCACGGGATCTTTCATCAACTCGAGTGATATCGGGCACCTGAAATCATCTGGAATCACCGGAGATCTATGCCTCACGAAGCTCGATTCATGATCAGAGGAATCAAGTTTGGGATTTCCAAGCATCACGAAATCGTTTATCTTTTTAAGAAGAAACGACATTAACTCGAAGCAATTTTCAGGAACTCCATCGGCTGACATGACCATATCATGAATTGCAAGAGACTCTCTCCTAAGATCATTTATTGTCGTGAGATGCAGTTTTGCTGAAAGTCGTTTAATCATTTCTAGATCGGGTTCTTTTCCCTTTTTCACCATGGCCAAATCTGTTTGGAACTGTAAATCTGGAGACTCGATTTGTCTTTTCGCTCGTTTAAATTGTAGATGCACAAGTTGTATCTGAAAGATTGTAATTAGTTTGGAAGTTATAGACTTCAATAATGAATTTGCACAAGTTGTACACACCTGTTCTCTGACTTCCTCAGGTATATCGAATCTATCATAATGAACTTTGCACAATGCCTCTTCAATTTGCGCAGTTACTGCACGAAACTTGTCAGCAATTCCATCAATTTGCAGCGCCTGTGGCATAAAAGGAATAAGAAACTGAAATAAAGTTTAACCTAAACCCTAAAAACTAGTGAGAGAGACGTAAAAAAACCCAAAATCCTACACCCAATTACGAATTATAAGACCAATTAAATCACATAAACTGACCTACCTGAAAGGTTTTGCTTCCTCCATTGACTGATTTGAGAAGCTCCAGAGCCAAATTCAAGGCAATTTTCAAAAACTGTAACCCTTGAACATCATCATCAGCGTTAAGTTGTTCTTCGCTATCTTTTAATTCCTCAAATAAAGGGTTCAAAAGCTTCACTCTCCTCATCAAATTCACGTACATCTCTTTAACGGCGTTTCTGCACTCAGGTAACCCTGAAAACTCCCTGACCAGGTCAACGAGTTGACTCACCAAATCACCCCTTTCTTGATTGGCCATTATTAGACCACCAAAATCACACGGTTAAGAGCTCACAGAAACACTCGGTTATGGGATTGAAGAAAGATTGGGTATTAAAGGGACTAAGATTCTGCAAGTGGAGACTTATTCTGGGTTTATGAGGAATTGACGAAATCCCATGAAGAATAATTAATTGTAAAAGGGAGGTTATGGATTCATGGTTGACTTATTAGTTTGGTTGAACTTGAGGAATAAGCGGAACGACGAAAGAGTCAACAATTGCTCCAAAAGAGAAATGGTCGATGATTTGGTGAAAAACTGAAAATGGCCACAAAGGAAAAGAGAACTACGAACTGTTTTTCTTTTTGTTTTTTTCTATGGAAACGAGGAAGCCTTTTACTCCCTCCGTCCCCCAAAATTATTGTCAACAGACAAAAAAAAAAAACACACAGCTTAAGAAAAGCAATTATTAGTTTTGTCTTTTTAAATAAAATGTCTCTTTTGCCTTTTTCTAAAACCAATGAGAAATGTGCGTTTGTAATTATTCAAGTTTATTTTATTAAATGTTAGGGGTAATATGGTAAAAATGTATATCTACTTTTGGTAGTGGACAATAATTTTGGGACGAACTAAAATAATAAGGTGGACAATAATTTTGAGACGGAAGGAGTATTAATCAAGGTTGTTTTGTTATAACGAACATGAGGAAATGATTATTTAATCCTTTTTTGTTTTTAGAGGTAATCTTGATAAAAGTTGGTGTTGATTTAATTATTGATAAAAGTTGGTGTTGATTTAATTACTACTAAAATGCGAATTCTAAAACACACAAATAATAATAATAATAATAATAATAATAAATTATTAGAAAAACTGTAATATGCGATTGATCGCATCATCATCAATAATTTAAGTTGGACATAATATATAATCATAATAAATATTCCCTCTTGAGCATGGCATCTTGCTCTTTTTTTGAAGCTTCCATTAATTTGGAACTATATTTAGACATAAAATATATTTGTTAAAAATATCTTAAAAACTGATAGTTAATAGTAGAAAATTAGCAAATAGTAGTTTCAAATTGGAAGCTTGTATCTTTTATTTGTATAGAAATATTCGACAAAAATAGTTATAAATTTTAAAGCTTGTAAAACTATATAAAAGCTAAAATCTAAAAACTCTTAAAGCTAAAAGTTACATGAGATAATTCTACTATTATCAACTTTTTGTTTAAAACTTAGGTTTTTCCTTGTTATCACTTGAGTGATTCATATTGTTATCTTCTACCAACAAGTGAGTTAATCGAGTAGCTATTGAAGTTAAACATTTTTGCAAATTCTTCCAAAAGTGCTAATGCAGATTTAAATACTTAATGATCAATTATTGAAGATTGTGTCAGTGTCGACACTTCACACGTGTAGACTCTAGGTAAGAAGTCTCCATTTTGGTGGTTTGGAAAAGAAAAAGACACTTCCATGCTTTAGTACTTTTACATCACCAAAAACACATGCAAATCATTCGTATAATAAGAAGCATTTGTTTCTTATATAAATTCTCAACTACCAGCTAACTTTTCAGCTAACAGTCTAACACCATACAATTCATTTGTCAAATAATCATTTTATTAATCTCAATACATCTAGTAATTTATGAGCAAATCCCAAACAAAGAGTAAAATCTCAAGCAGAATGGCATCATAGTGAACTTTACAAACATGTAGCACAATAAAACAAATAAGTTTTAACATATAACATGAAAAAACAAATGACATCTCAAAAAGCATATAAACAGAAAGCAGAAATGATATGATGCCAAATAACACCACCAGGACATGGATCATAGACTGTTGACATTCTGGAATGGTCATGATCTCCTGATTGGGCTACTCGATGCAAGTTACAAGCTCCAATGCTCATAGTACAAGTTGAATAAGCAAAACCCCCAAAAAAGAAAGTCAACCCAACTTCTCTAAGAAAGTTTCAGTCAAAGTATTACCATTTATGATCTTTGTTGTCCCTATAATAATATCATATGCCATCCCTTCCTGCAAATAATAAAATAACAAACATTTTATTAAGCTGTGGTGATTAAATCATTATACTTTTATTAACCAGTTAATTAAAAAAAAAAAACATATTTGCCAGTTACACGGTTTTGGTATCCGAACAAAATTACAAAAAGTGTAATCAGAGTAAATTACAGAAATGGTCCCCGCGGTATACTGAAATTCGCACTCTGGGTCCAACTGTCCAAGTTTCAAAATTTTGACACGGACAGTCCTTAAGGTTTAATTTTCTTACATCGGGGGTCCATCTGACTAACACCGTTAAATAAACTCCATTGAAGCCATGCAAAATGACCAATTTACCCCTCATTTTGTCTTTTTCGTGTTTTTTTTATATCTACATATTATAAGTACAAAAACAACATGAAATACTAAAAAAATAAAAACCATTCATGTTCCCTCCTCAACCGAAAAGCCTAGCGGCACCCAACACACTCCTCAACAGAAAAGACAAAATGAGGGGTAGATTAGTCATTTCACATGGATTTAACGAAGTTTTTCTAACAGTGTTAGTCAGAAGGACCACCTATGTAAGAAAATTAAACCTTAAGGACTGTCTGCGTCAAATTTTTTATACTTGGACTCAGAGTGTGAATTTTAGTATACCGTAGGGACCATTTCTGTAATTTACTCTAATAGTCATGTAAAAGTAATATTTATGTGGCTAAGTCAAAAAGATGGCAGAAGTACGTTATATTTTTATTTTTCCCAAAATGGGTATCCAAGAAGAACATTATTTTTTTTTTTTTAAATTGAAAAAGGTAAAATGGTTTAATCAGTACAGAAAAAAGTTAAGTGGCTAAATGTGTAAAATGGTAAAAGTACAAGGGCTTTTCTGTAATTTGTTCATTCCTGACCTGAGAGCTGAGAAAGCGAAGTGCAGAAATCTCTGCAAATGTTACCCCTCCAACAAAGACAACTAGAACAAGAGATCTCCTCCCATCTTGTACTCTGAAATATATATTCAAAGGTAAATCATATATGAAAAATTAATTACACCCTTGTAATTTGAAAAAATCTACAAAATTATAGCATTGTACTTTAAGTTCTTTTCTTATTATGATTATTAGCACATTATACCTTGAATAAATATATCTTTGTATTTGAATGAAATTAATATTGTTGGGTAGATTTTTCAAAGTAAAATGTTGTAATAGGAAGAAATGAAAGTAGGATGCTATAATATACAAATAACCAAAAGTATGTTGCTATTTTTTGCATTTATCCCAATGTTAGAGAGTGTACTTGTCCATGTGTGAACCCCCTGGTAGTGTATCAAGTGTACCATTTGCAAATGCACTCTGTAGCAAAGTGGTCAAATAAGTTAAATAATTATTTTTAAACAAAAAAAAATGAGAAAATATAAATTACAAAGAAAGGAAACATATCGTAACCCTTTTCGACTCTGTATGTGTGCCAGGCAACAGCTTCAATATTTCTTCAAGGGGACGCCTAAAAGACCATATATAATTATATAATTATATATTATATAATACACATTGATATCTCAGATTGCTTAAAAAAAAACAATAACAATACAATAACAGCCTGTAAAGAGCTGTACGACATGACATGACAGTACTGTGTTTGATGTGGATTGGACTGACAAGACATGACATGACAGTCTGTAAAAAGTTGCCACATATGACATGACCGACAAGATAGTACTGTAAAAAGATGTCGCACAGTACTGTGTTTGATGTGCATTGGACTGAGTTTGATGACATGACGGTACTGTAAAAAGTTGTCGGACAGTACTATGTTTGATGTGCATTGGACTGAGTTTGATGACATGACGGTACTGTAAAAAGTTGTCGGACAGTATTGTGTTTGATGTGCATTGGACTGAGTTTGATGACATGACGGTACTGTAAAAAGTTGTCGGACAGTACTGTGTTTGATGTGGATTGGACTGAGTGTGTGACTAATGTTAGGGGGACAAAAAATGACATGTCATTTTTTGTCCTATCCAAAAAGGTGGGACAAGATGGGATGGGTACTCAGTTATGGATCTCTTGTATGTGTAAAAGACTAAAATGCCCTTGTCATCCTAATCATCAAACATTGGAGAAATGAAATGAAACTGACCATCCAGATCGAATTGCATGTTGGATCAGGCGAATACTGAGAGGAGCATATCCAGAGAAAACATATGACACGTCTTTGGGACTACCACCAAAAAAAAGAAGATATTGTAAGTAATTTAATCAAAAAATTAAAAAACCAAATCTTCATTTCAAAATTTACCATAATTTGTAAACCACTTGCCAGAATTCAAATAAGTTTTCATATTCCATAAGTAACTTATGGGAGTATTGATTCAAACAAGAAGAATGAACTTAATAAAGGGTTAGATGCTTGTTTATGTAAACTGTAAAGACATTTCACCTTTTGTTTCAATATTACGCAACAAAGTTGCTTTTTACACAAACTATAGAACCATGTTTCATTTTAGGATCAAAATATGCAACACAATATTTTATTTGTAACAAGAATGTTTCATTTTCTCCCCAATTTATGAAATAACAAAATTTTTAGACAAAATATGTAACCACAAAAATTCTAGGGCAAAAGTATGCAACGTTTTAGGTGGGAACTGGTTCAAAAACTTATTTATGCAAACGTTGTGTCATGTTTTTATCAATTTATACAATAATGTTTCACCTTTTCACCAATTTTAAGCAATAATTAAGATTGATATTGAGCATATAAATACATTACTTGGTTGTATCAGTATCCTCAACCACAAGGTTAAGAGCCCGTTTGATTAACAACCAGTTGCTTTTTCCCTCCTTCACATTACACAAATGCAAATAAAACTTATCAAAAAAAATTAAAAAGGAAAAAAAGAATAAGAGCATGTTAGCAAGAGGTATAAAATAAACCTGCTTCTTAACCAACCCAGCTTTTTCTAAATTATTAAGAGTAGCTATATGCTCAAATCCATAGCTGTGAAGAATCTCTCTCCTATAAATCAGGAAGTATAAAAGAAGTTAAATATGTTTTCACATAATAGCAACGACTTCTTTTTCTTTTTTTCTTTTCTTTTCTTTTTTTTTTTTGTGTGGGTGAAGGAATCCGTATTTTAGTCTTGATTATAGATTGGGTAGAAATTTTCAAAGTATGATGATGTAAGAGATAAGACAAAGAAACAAAAGTAAGATCTACTCTAATAAATAAATAAATAAATAAATAATTTGCCAAACGTCACACTCTCATTCATTTTGCAACATGTCATTTTGTGGTTGTTTTAAATTAAATTTGTTTCCACATGTCATTTTATGGTTT